TTGTTATTTTGACGTTTTCTGCTTGTGAGCTGCAAAGCAAACAAAATTAGAACACAAACACGACGCTGGTGATGCAGAAATAAATCCAGACGCACGGCGAGATGTGTCACTTTTACACTTTATTGTTTAAAGTTGTTACAAAAAAGTGTTTGCTGGAAACATTCGTTGCTTTTCGCCTTTTACAAGCACAAAGACACCCCGGACAGGAGGAGGAGAGCGAGTGGAGGGCGGCGGGACGGACTGACAGACGTGTGTTTGTGTTGAAATAAAAGGGCTGAGATAACAGTACAGAGACGGAGGGAAGCCCTTAATCACACACTTTATCCACAGAGTCCATGAAACGAAACCAAAACTGGGTGAAGGACACAAACATCTGGATCCAGAATAGACTTTTTACTTGTGAGGTATCCTCAGAAGACCTTAGCAGTGTGTGAGTGTGTGTGTGTGTGTGTGTGTGTGTGTGTGCAGACGTGACACAGGTCATTGTGTTTCTCCCTGAGGTGCGTTAGTGTGTTGCAGTCTGAGGATACTGATGAACGTTATCTGGAGAGCTACTGTGTGGACAGATGAACGCACACAAACTGCACACATACAATCATCATGAATGCATAAATTACAATCTCTCTCTCTCACACACACACACACACACACACACACGCTACTTATACCTGCAGATAGGACTGTGTTCAGAGCTCACGCCTGAAGCTCTGTGTGTGGAAGTGACTGATCAGTAAAGCTGCGTCGCTGTTGGGAGGTTTGTTTCTACAGTCGGACTGCGAGTCCAGGTGGAACCACAGTGGCGTTGTCGGGCGTGTTGTGTGTTCTGGGAGGATCTGAAGCGCAACACGTCAGGGCTGTCTCCTCTGAGCTCGCTGTTTTGTGTTTGGCTAGTTTAGAGGTAGCAAGAGAGCGTAGTGACTTTATTTCATGCATTTCATGTGGAAGTTGAAATCGGTGTTAGAAGCCGACAGAACAATCTGCAGCAGCTGTCTTTTGCTCTTTCGGTCATATTGCCTGGTCTTCCTCAGCAGGTAGATTAGGAGGCACCAGTTACTCACACATCCATCACTAGGTTGTTGGATAAACACGAGCTAACTTGTGATTTACTAATTCAAGTTGCACCATTAGGGCCAGAAAACACTTCATTTATGTGTAAATCAGCTGCTAGGAAACATCTGTAGTGTCCAGTTAAAAGCAATCAGCTGTATAAGCAGCAAGTCACTGCGCTGCTACAAGTAAAGGCCCAAAGCTTAGCCGCCAATCCCAAATACTGAAATGTAGGATTTAGCTGAAACAAGAAATGAGTGAGTTTCAGAGTCAGTGAAAGTCGTTTGGTTCAGGACGCTAACCTCACTGACCGTCATCAGTCTGTTTGTTATTTAGTTTGTCTGAAAAGTGTTTAAACGTCAGTCAGAATGGGTTTTACATGAGCTAGCTGACGTTAGCTTACTGAATATGAAACAGGATCTAACCTTCATACCGACTTAGTTTGAACACACTCTTATTTATATTTGGGTTTCTGTGCTGGATTGCTTCTAATGATCTAAAGGTTTAAATGATCTGTTATCTGCTGTTTATGAATCTCAACACATTTACTCATAAATGACAGTGAACACGTCCCTGTTGCTGCTTGTTGTGCCTCCTTGTTGTCAGCTGTTTGTTTGAATGTAAACCAGATTCTGAAGCTGAAAGATTTGAGGAAAGTATTTAATCCTGTTATCTTTTTTGTTTTTGTTTTAGATGCGCTTCACCTCTGCTCTGATCTTTCATTTCTTTTTTTCTTTGATGTTGTTGTGGCTTTTTTTTTTTGGGATATATCTCCTCTTGTTGTGTTTGTGTGTTTTTGTGAGCTGTGGTTTTATAGCTCCCATTTTTGTGGCTCTATGATCTCAGCTTTTTGTTGTTTTGGTTTTTTGTCTTTTCTTTTTTTGTGTTATTTTTTTTTTTGTGTGTTTTTTATAAGCGCACAGTTTTTCCCCACTCTATTTTACATTTTAAAAAAAAACAAACTGTAGTTAAATCTGCTCTAACCAAACTTGTCATGTTGATGTAAAACAATCCCATGTTTAGCCCCCCAGTTATTACAAAGTGAATACAACATATAAACAGTTCTCCTTGCAGCTGGCAGCTTAACACAATAAAAGTCAGAGGAGGCAGCCCTGGCGTTTTGCACTCACACCGCGGAGCTCGTCGCCCCTGAAAGGCTCCACAGGGACGGTTCTGATGCCGTTTGGACCTCCGTTACAGAGAACTCACGTGTGTTACTGTGTGTGTTTATCAAACCTGAGTCAAACAGCTACAGTTGGTTTTTTTTTGCTCGGTGTATCAGGTGATGGGACGTCTTGAACTGAGACGATTCAGGTGAGAGAAAGAGAAACACACTGAGACCACTTCTACCGTCTCGACCTGCTCTTTGCATCCTTGTAAGAAAGCGTCTGGACTAAAACACGTCTGCAGTGGGGCACACGGTTACTCATGAAGACAACAGAAGCGTTTTTCAACACTGGCACGAGTTAAATGCCAAAAAAACAAATCTCAGTTCAACTAAAACGAATACTGCTCAGAATACTGCGCAAGTTCAGTCCCAAACATCACAGCAGGGAATAAAACATCGTCCACATGAAAATAGCGTCTGTGCTGTTGTTTCTGTACCGTGACTCCTCCTCTTTTAATTTAATAAAAAGCACTTGACCGGGGCTGGTTAGAGTGTGTGAGTGTGTGTGTGTGTGTGTGTTGTGTAGCTACATGGCTGCGTTTTCATGGCTGTGATCAGGAAAGAGTCACTCACCCACAAAGAGACATTTCACTCGGACTTTAAAGGGAGGGAGCAGCCGTTCAGGCCGTCTGAGTGCTTACAAAGACGCCCGAGAAGACTCGGTTTCCCATAATGCTTTAGGAGGTTTCTGTTCCAAATCTATTGCTTTGAATGCGGAAAAAGGCCGTGGTGATGCCTAATGAGAGAGAAGAACAACTCAAGGGTCAACACACAACGTGAGCGCACGCCAGAGGACGGGGTGTATAAATACGACAAACATGTGAACGTGGGGGAAGGACACAGAACGAAACCCTCAGAACACACCTAAAACTTTATATCTGATTAACAATATACGGAGTTTTCAAATTAAAATGCTAAATAGTATTGAAGTTAGGCATATCTGACAGATAAAGGATGAAGCGATGATCCTGGGCCATAAATAAACATCTTTGTTTAAATTAGCTTTAAGAGATGTACACAGATGTATATTGCAACAATAAACATGAATAAAAGCCGCACGTTTGCACCGCGGCGTGTTAGTAATTCAGATAAATACTGTTGTTAAAAGTTCTTTCCGAGAAACAAACGAGAAAAGTTTACCCAGCAGTGTTCTTTGTTTGGTTTTTGTGTCTCTGGTTTCACATGAAAATATAGAAATCTTTGTTGTCATTCATGAAAAAGCAATACAAAGGTCACTTAAAAATGAGAAAGAGACAAGAAGTCCAGAAAAAAGTTTATATCTTAACTGCAGGGCAAAGAAAACACATCTGGGTAGGTCCCTGTTCTTAAAACGCAGGATCCGTGTCCAAGCAAAAACCTCGCCGCCCTGCGTCTTCCAGAGGATGCTGGGAGGTTCCCCCTCTAGTCGAGGGGCCCCTGGAAGATGAGTCTGACGAAGCCCTGCTCGCCAGTCAGCTGTTGGGCACAGAAGGGGCAGGCGGCGTGGAAGGTGTGAGTGCCGTGAGGAAGCGGGATCTGACTCCAGAAGGCCGCCGTCTTATCCGAACAGACGTGGCCGCAGGGGTTGAAGGCGTGAGTGGGCGGAGCTGCGTCCACGTAAAAGCCCGCCTCGCAGCCCAGCCACAGGGGTACGTAGGGCCCTTTAGCTCGGCACATGGGGCACTCCCGGCTGCGGCCCTCCCGGCCCTCCCTCTCCTCGCGGTGGTTGCCCCAGTTGTGGTAGCCGTGCACGTGGCCACACTGGAGGTAGACCCAGGGCTGCTTCTCGTCCGGCGTGTCCTTGCGGCGCATGGAGGGGAAGGCCAGCGTGTTGAAGCCCACGGGGCACTGCGGGCGCGCCGCGTTGATCTCCTGCCGCAGCGCCTCCAGGTGCTTGAGGGTGGGAGTGCGCGACAGGCCTTCGGCGGTGCGCCACAGCAGAGTGGCGCCGCACAGGTCGATGAGGGAGCCGTCGACCAGCTCCTGAGACTCAGTTTCCACCTGGAACAGAGAGAGAGAGACATCAGGTTACACCCTGAGATAATTAAATATCAAACCAGATTAACTGACTGCCTCCTGTAATTACAATCACACCTGGGCTTTTAGAAACACTGTCCCTGAAGGTTCTGGAAGAAAAACCTTCCCTGTCCTTTATTCATTCGACTGGACGGTTCTTTTATATTAACTTCTTACTTTTTTCTAGTTTGTATCCTACTTCTATCATTTTGCTTTTCTACTATTTCTAATGTTGTGTGATTTTCTTTTCTGAGGAATATCTGACCAAAGACTTTACTTCAGGATCAAGTTTCTTCTTATTCAGGTGAAACTGTGCATTCATACAAGTTTCTCACATGTTGACGTAAAAGCTGGGGGTTCTCTACCAGGAATCACTTTAAAACTGTGCTGTTTAGTTTTAAAATATCTGTATTTATTTACTGCTTTTTGCTTGTTTTTTTGGACACAAGGTGTAACTTTAAGTTCTAAAAGGCAAAACGCGGCTGCCCTTCAGATAAAATGTGCTCAGTAGTCGCTACGGGACTGATGACGGTTCATCAGATGGAGAAAATGAACGTCTGCATGATTTGATGCCGTTTGGTGAGAAGTCAGATGGTTAAAATACGGTCATGTCTCAGCCTCTGGAGACCATGAATGTCAAAATCCACCTTCAGTAACGCTGTTGGGACCCTTCCTGAAAAGTTTCTAACATTTTATAGTTTCAACACTCTGATTCCTGAGTCCAGTGACCCGTCCTGGTTGAACACCGTCACAGCCGCAGAGGGTTTCCAATGAAGCAGACAATCAGCATAATCAGTCCACAGACAGTACAGCAGTCAGCCTGTTGTACCTCATTAGACAGAAATCTATGCATGTTCTAGTTATTTCTGACCATCTGCCCAAAAAAGAAGAAGTGCTTTAGTAAGTCAAGCTTGAAAAAAAAATGCTATTTTTATTCTTAATTCTCCTCATTTTGGTGCTGCTAGCCTCTACAAGGAGCTCCAAACATTCCTCTCAGCAGGAAAAACCCTGAATATGACCAGTGGCTCAGATCGCGGAGCCTCGATGGCTGCAACATCCGTCTGAGAACAGTAGGTGGCAGTGTAACACTGAAAGTTTCACCCTGAGACAGATGTGAGTTTCAGAGAGGAGGCAGAGCACCAACAGCTGGAGGCAAGATGACACGAGGAAACCGAAGAGACACAGCAGGGGCAACAGAAAGGTCTTGGCTCGGCCGGATCGAGCACGGCGGGGAAATTCCACGTTTAGATAAACTGGAGGACAACAGGGCGGGAAGAAAAACAAGAGGATGGAGAGAAAGAGCCTGAGAGTGGAGAGGAAGGGAAAGTCCTACAACGTAATAACAGTCTATTTTTATAAAGTGACACGGAGAGGGGCAGCTCCCAGGCGTTCTGGTGACATCACTCGTCGCGGCGCTGACGCTGAGGTCACCGAGGGTCTCGGGGCGAACACGTCGGCGTGGCAGCAGCTTTGCACTGCCTCTGGCTGACATGTCCCTCCTCCCGGTGACAGCTTTTAACCTTCATGTATCCTGGGACTGTGGGCCGAGTGCACGTGCGCCCTTTATGTCAGCGATGCCCTTTTTCACACTGATGCAGGAACACACACACATCTGCCCAGTAAAACCTCCGTCTCTCTGCTGCTCAGCTGGAAACACTCCTTTTTCCTTCCCACCTGTCTGACTTTCTGGTCACCATCTCTGCTCATTAACCCGCTGCCACGTCAGAGAGAACAGCCACAAAACTCTGTTCAATGCATAATGGCGCTCAGGCCTAATGATCTGTGTGCTCCGGGTCGATTGGATCCATGTAAACATCGACGCGAACTCACCTCCACTCACTTTTATTTAATTACACTGAAGCGGGCCGTTTATCAGCACAAAAGCTGGTATTAAACACAGCAGGAGCTCCGACACTGTACTCATTCATTATCCTTCACTAAAGCCTCCACAGCAGGCTGCATGCAAACCACTGTGTCTGCATGTCTGTGTGTGTGTGTGTGTGTGTGTGTGTGAACTGCACTGTAAGATATTCCTAATTATGCTGCTTTAAACCTTGTGTCAAGCTGCAGAAGGGCAACCAGCTGCCCTGCTGGCAAGGCTGACTGAGTCCACCCAAAAGCTGCTCACAATTTATCTCTGCCTGGCACTAACTACAATAACCTGGTGACAGATTTGCATTTTTATAAAGCGCATCTTTAATTACTTTTAGCCCAAATCATTATCAAAAACAATCCCAAGACAGGCGGTTACAGGAAAAACAGCTCCGGTGCCTTTTAACACACTCGAGTTCGCCGGAGAGCTTTTTGTCAAAGCTGCTGAGTCTACTTTTTCCCGCCATTCAATCAGAATGTCCTTCAGATGTTAACCTTCACTAAAGCAGAGCAGTTCTCCCATTTGGAGAGAGGTACACTCTCAAAGCCACTGAGGGGAAGGGGCAATAAACTAGATTACAAAGCTGGAAGAGGTCTGATTGAAATGACCACACATTGTTCAGCGTTCCCTTTTGGCCTTCATAGATAACGTCGGTGTTTCTAAACACGCTGTTAATAGTTTTATAGTAAATACAGTAGAAGTATCTAGCTTCCTGATGCTATCTGTTCTGTCTGTGCAGCAGTTGATTGACAGCAGCTGTCGGGTCGAGTCCTGCTGTGCTGTCAGCGGTGACATTGAGCAATAAGGACAATGACAGCATGTAAATGGACTGACGTGACATTTGCTGGCTTGTTTACATGCAGCTTAATGAGCAGCACCTGAGCGGCGCACTTCTCCACGGTGAGTGTTTGTTTGGTTCCACAAGCTGAAGCGCAGAAAGAGATGCGTGTTCACGTCTATCCGCTAAATAAAGCAGGAAAAGTGATGCGGCTGTTTAACTTTGTGGCGGTCAAGTCACTGCTTTATGCAAATATTTGGAAGGAAAGAAGTTCACTCCGTCTTCACAGGTGGAGAATTACAGTTATTCCTATTAGTTTATACAAGTTCAGGTAGAAATGAGAGCGTCATTATGAAACAATATACATTTTTTATGTATGTTTTTTTCTTCAAAGACAACACAGTCACTTATTAAGCTCATAATATATGTATAACATGTATATAAGTGTAGACAGATAGAACGCCATAAGCCAAGAAAAAAAACAAACGTTTATTTTACACAAATTGAACAAACCTGTACAACATTTTTGTCCAAAGGTTTTACGGGAAGCTCATATGCTCCAGATTCTAAATTCTTTTTAATTTGCCTGGTTTTGTCTTTCTGAAGCTTAGATTTCCAGACAGAACCATACATCACATACATTTCAGTGTCAGGCTGTTTCGGACTCTGGTGATATTTTAAAGATAACCTGCCCTTCAAGATACTCCTTCAAAATGTGTCTAAAGATTTGTAATGCCATCTCTGTGTCAGACTGATAAAGATGCAGTAAGTGGGATCCACTCTCTGCGCATCCAGCCTGACGATTAAAGCCCATAATGTTCTGTTAGCGAACGTAATGCCCACAGCTGACAATCTGAGTCGTCAATGAACTGTGAAATAGTGAGTGGCTTTTATAGTGGCGGATAATGCACGAGCGCTTCACCCTGTGGACGGTAAAGGGCAGGTCGAGATAAGAAGACTGTTAATTTGTGCTGCGCTGGACGGACGCGAGGACAGGTGGGCCTCCAGATACAGACACGGATTAATGTGTGCCGCGGACAGAAAAATGAGGAAAGGAGAGGAGGAGGAATAAAGACCTGATTGCCAGCATCTGAAATCCAATCAGATAAGAGCCTCAGGTGGCCACGCTGACGAGACAGGGGGAGCGCCGCGATTGGCCGAGAGGCTGTGACATCAGCTGGAGGATCCCTTACTGGGTCTCGTTACACGCGGCTTTGACAGACGGACCTGTTGCCATGGAGATGGCATCCCAGTAACCTCCGGGTGGTGTTAAGCTCTGACTGGCCTCCTGCTGCCGGAGCGACAGTGTTGGTACGCGAGTGTGAAAAAGTGTGAGGCGGTGTGAGGGAGGAGAGAAGTATGGGATGTGGAGGAAGGAGTTTCACCTTTAATTGGGAGCAGAGAGACGGAAAGTCTTTATGCTTCCTCATTTTCAAGCAGCTATAATCTGTATTTTTATAATAGCAACGTACCAAAACAATGTGAAAGTATGTAAGTTCACTCATCCTGATGAACTTCTCTCCTCTCAGAGCACGGTTTCTGTCCACGGGAGGCAACTTTGGTGAAAAAGCTTTAAAAACTCATTCTCTGCTCATGCCCACAACCCGACTCGCTGATGAACACAGCGGAGTATTTAGCAGCCTGATAAATAAAAGCGTCTCTGGGGGGCTGGTGGGGGCTGCTAACGAGCTCCAACAGTAACGACACACGCCGGGGAAAATGGTGTCATACATGTCGCGCATATTTTCTCACCATCTTTCCCCGCTGCTGCGCCGAGCGGGTTTCTCGCAGCGTGAAGACGTTGCCGCAGACCGAGATCTCCCTCCAGACGCCCGGTTTGGAGTCCTGGGTGAAGCCGTTGCGAGGGTGCATCACCAGCACGCCGTTGGTGGTCAAACCGTCCATCTGACCGTCAGACGTCTTCCACTTAGCAGCTTTCTCCTGAAGCAAACCAAAGCACGGGAAGGTGTGGTGTTAGTGGGGACAATAAAAATAGGTATTCTGTCCTGTACTCAACATCTATGGTACAGACAGTGCTGAACAAATCCATTAGACCACTTGTCTAACTTGTTAAGCACTGTATATGTATATATATACCATTTAATTAGCACTCAGCTCTCCATGTTTCACCATTTTGAACAGGAATGAGGAATTTCAAACTGAATTCATCTTTTTATACCCAAATCTGAGCCAATCAAGCATGACATTCAACCCCTAAAATCTATTTTTCCTGCTCAGGAATGTGAGTAAACAACTATAATCTGACATGTTAATCAATAAATAGCTTCTACATACTGGTGTATTGACCATTACAGAAACATAAAAAATGATTTTGTTAATTACCAATGCTGTTAATTTAGGGCAGCTGTGGCATAAACCTGACATTGGGTGGTGGTCTGATAAATTTCTTCAGCTCTGTATATCATGTGCAGCTTTCTGTTTCCACGTTGCTTTATTTTATTGGGATGTGTGCACGTACTTGGAAAAAAAAGACTGAAAAGTAAATCATCAAGAGTCGAATTCTCTCTTTTTTTATCTCAAACACGTGTGAGTTTCCGCCAAGGGCACTTTGAGAGGACACCAGTTGTTGTCCTTCGCTGTCAACGCAGCGGCAAATCAAGAAGAGTGATGTTTGGTTCTGACGTTAAACGGAAAGTACGTGGAAAAACTGAAAGGTCTGCACGTACGAGCAGAACGCGAGCTGTGCGACTCGTCTTTCATCTCCTATTTTCCTCTGTTTCTCTGTCACACTTCTTTGTGGTTCTCTGGTCCTCTCTCCTTTCGTTCCCTCTTTCATCTTTTCTGCCTTTTTGCTCTGTCACACTCGCCCACACGTGTCTGAAGCGTCAGATGAAACGCTGCTCACCCCGAGGAAGATGTTCTTGGAGGAGTCGAAGCCTGCGGCGTAGATGCGTGCGGTGTAAGGCGGCGTGCGCTGGCACATGATGCGGCAGGCGAAGCGGGAGATGGTGCTCTGGACCGACTGAGTGTCTGCGTTGCTCTGGCTGCCCGCCACCGTGTCCGTCACTACGAAATCTATTGGGCTCTCTGTGGATCGACCGATCTGGTGGAGAGAGATGGAAAGTTTAGTCAACAATGCGGTCCAGTTATGAGATAATATAATAATCCGTTCCCTCTGGGTGAAGCTGGCAGGAAAAAGGACATAACAACAGAAAAACAGAGACAAGGGGAGCTGAATGAATGCACAGAGAGCACAATATTGAATCCATTAAAAAATTAGAAGCACATTAAGAAAGAAGTGGGCGAATAATGCCTGATCAGTTGCGTTTATCAGGCTGGTGCGGCAAGACAGAGGCATGGGAAAGCACACGAGTAGAGGTTTCAGTTTGTTCTCATGCATTGTAAAGAAGCCGTAACAACCTTGAGGACGCTGTGTGCTGTGATGATTGCTGTCCCTCACAGCATCACCGCTGCACCACAATCACTGCACACGACAGCCTCCCACAGTGCTAATGCTGCTCAGGCAAAGAACAGGATGACTTTGGAAAACTGTTCTGAAAGATGCTGTGTGAATAATCTGAGCTGTTCAGAAACATTATCTTCTGTCCAAACCCGACTAAAATGAAGCATCATTGGTATTACATGTTTGACAAGACGTGCGCACTTGTCTTATTACTTGAGGCACAGTGAAATCATGAGTATTTTTTCCATCTGGTGATAAATATCAGGACTGAAAGCTCCAGGACAACGAGTAATTGGACACTACAGTGGTTTTATGTGCTGTTCTCTCCGAGATCAAGGATGATTATCAGTTCAGCAGGTCCATCTCAACTACATATGATGATAGAAACTCTAGAATCTATGAAAGCACTGGTGTCCCGAACCACATCTTTTCACCTGTTTGTTTACATTCTGACAAATTGGCACAATTAAAGGTTTCTGAATTATAACAGTTTATTATTAACCACAGATGTACAAACAGCTATGGATGATTCAGATACTGGGGAAAACTTCCCATCATCATTGTCATTCATTAAACCCACAAAACTCATCTCTATTTAACAGCTGTTTTTGCATGAAAACAATGCTTTCCTGCCTTAAAATGACTTAGATGTACCTTTGTGCCATTGCTTCCTCTACAATGTGCAGATGTATGAAGTCCCTGCCTGTCTGCCAGCATATAAAACACACCATATGGATGTTAACAAGGTAAAAAAATGTGATTTTCACTGGAGGGGGTCTTTAAAAACATGATGGTTCTGAGGGAAGATGTGGAGTTAAAGGCAGCATTGTTTTCCTGTGATTTCAAAGCAGGATTATGTCTGTTTAGTCACGAAGGACATCTTCTGTGAGTCAGAATAAATGTGTGTCATTCATGTCATCCGCGAGGAGGAGCGTGGATTTTGACACACAGTCGGGTTTAAAGGTTTTAAAGTGCTTTAATTGTCTCTGTGAACTATGTGTCACAGCTGCTGACTGTGTGAAGAAGTGGGCCAAACCACAGCTAACTTCCCGTTGTTTTCACAACAACGTCACACACCTGTCTAATTCGCCTCACACATTGTGCCTGACGTACTTCCCTCCGCTCCACCCTTCATCTGGACCCAACGTGGGGTGCGTCATACTCTGAAAACCCCACGTATTGATGATAGTCCAGCTCTCTGACCAAACCCCTTTTTTTTGATCTGGACGACTGAGTGGAGCAGTGAAGTGGAAAAAATAAGGACTGTGAATTGGCTGTAAAACTCCAGGCGCGGTGATAAAAGCTGAGGGCTTGTTACCTGGAACATGTCTGTATTGCTGTCATGGGTGTACTCCACCACCACCGTCTGGGCTCGAGACAGAGTGTAAGAGATGCTGTGCTGGTCTTTGTTGCTTATGGCCTGGTGGGACACAAGAGGAAAACAACCCATGATTACAAAGACAGTAAAGGGACAGAAACAAGCTCTCAAATCAAAGCCTTCACTCAAAATTCACCAGAACACTGAAGCACAAACGTGTTTCACAGCAAAAAAAACCCCCTCTGACTTCTGCTCAGCGACCCTCACAGAGAACAACAGGAACACACAGGAAAGGGTGGGGTGGCTGAAGACTTCGGTTATGTAGTCACTTACTGGCCCTGGCGACTTTTTTCTCGGTCAGTCAGGACCACCCACAGGACAGAAAAGGACAATCACTCCTCCAGACTCTTTAAATTAGTGCAGCTAAAAGTCTGGCCCGTGTGAGCGAGTCGCGGTGCGCAGCAGTGTGTCCGCAGAGAACACATTAAGTACAGATGTTCCACCGAAAAAACCAAAGGTCCTTCCTCTCTAGCACAAAAACACACCTTCCCCGATCATTTAGCAGACTTTAGAGGATCTCTTGGCAGCTGACGAAGGAAACATATGAACATGTGCTTCCCAAGAATTTTGCAAGAAAAGGCTCAGTTGCCGTCCACTGGACCGTTCCCATTCGCTTCTCCTATAAACCTTCGGCGTGTTCCAGTTAAACGCTGTGTAAAAACCATTGTTCGAACGCCTTTTAAAACCCTCGACAAAGCCTTGTACCTGCTTGTTTTCCTTTTTCTGCTAACTCAGGGAAGCTTCGCTGAGCTTTTTCCCTTTCCTGTCTTGTTGATGAGGTGTGTGTGTGCGTGATTCACTGTGTGCGGTACTTTAATATCACAGAACAAAAAGCAAACAGAGTTCCAGAGAAGCCTTTGGTGGGGCAGCGCAGGCCAAATCCACTGAACTGGGTGTGTTTCATTTGATGTTGCCAGACAAAGGCGATCGTGTGAGGAGTAAAGAATGCTGCTTCCTATTATTAAATGTTCTTTTTTTAAATTTATTAAACGTCGCAGCAATATCATGACCGGTATATCCAAAAACTGCCTCCAAGCATACATCATCGCGTGTACTTTCGTTCAGGAAACTTGCTGATGTGCAGGATTTCGATGAAGGCAGCGGTTTCATGATTCCTGGAATATCTGCGAGAGGACGGATTGTGTGTTTCTCGGGGTTGGTGTGCGTCTCACCTTGGCTGCTTGGGGAGAGCAGGCGATGTGGACTGTGCTGGGTTTCACGCCGTTCGCTTTCGGCCTCTTACAAAGTGCAAAACGGCTTTTACGTCGGCCTCGGTCCCCGTTGGGCAGAGAGCCATTGTACCTGCACATAAACACACACACACACACACACACACACACATGCACACAAACACATAAACACACACATACATACACAAAACAATAGGGCATTATTGTCTGGGCAGCCGCATAATTCACTGGAAAAACAGTCATTGTGGAAAATGCTTGAGGCATTTCGGTGAACTCCCCTCAATGCCCCGAAGACGACAAGCATACATGCACCGGCGGCAGCCTATACTTTTCATACATGCTGTTTTACAAAAGCACATCGTGTCCCCATAAACAACAGAGCCCTCCAAACATAACCCCAGAAAAGGCTGAGAAAATAAACACACAGAGAGACTCATTTAGCCCGATACATGGCTGAGGAAAGGAGAATAAACAGAGGCGTTCCCTCCGACAGAATGGAGTCTCTGTGGCTCAACAGCGCTGCCACTGTGCCGTTGTATCTCTGTGAGCGTGCGTCTTGCCTAATACCACCAAAGTAAGAAAACATTCAGGAATCATTCATTCATCTCCATCCACAGGTTTAGTTCATCAACGGCGTGATTTAAACCCGTCAGTGTTAGACCATTCATAAAAATCAGGATTTGTCATTCAGCACAGCAACAAAACAAACAATACTAACAGAGAAAACAGGAATGCACTGAGAAAGAAAGCTAGAAGGTAGAACTGTGCACATGTGAAGTGCGTTGGATCTCTCTCTCAACGTACAGATGTTTTATTCTTTACTGCACACACGTGTTTCGGATAAACCGTCACCAGGGCGAAGTGATATTCCTGCCTGCAGCGCCGCAGCTTTATAAACATTACCGCATGCATAAACACTGCTCGTTACTTTAACATTGTTATGACATCCAGAAGCCACACGAGTTATGGACTCCTCTGACATACTGTGACTGTACTGGACCCCGGTGAGGGCAACGCCACGCTGTGACCCAGGAAAAAAAAACACCATCAGAAAGTAAGCTGCTCCAGTTTTTAGCTAATGTTTGTCATAATCAGCTGCTGTGATTTGCTCAGTTTAAGATTGACTGATAATTATTGATAGCAATATTAGTTAATAAGAATAACCAATACTTGCAGTAAAATGGAAAATCCTGGTGTGAAAATTTAGAATGAACACAAACTCCAAGACAAAATTTCGTTCAAAAGCTTTTCTTTATTTATATTTTACATATGCTTCATTAAAACAGAACTTTACAGCATTTATCCTTCAGTGTTCATAGGCTATTACTCATAATGTGTATCCAGTCAGATGGTGTTGGGTAGGACATTGTTTGATGATCACAGACAGAAAGACGCTTCTTTAATTTAAAAAAAAAATTAAAATACCGATAATCGGAAAAATTCTTGATCCCTCATCTTGCATCCAATTACTTCTGGTTATGGCTTTGGCTAAGTCAGCAAAAACCAACAAAATAAAATAAAATAAAGGACAACAAGAGTGCGTGCCTCCTCCACAACCTTCCGAGCATGCACCGTTGCCCAGAACCTTTCAGAAGACATCCAAAAAAACACAGAACAACACAGCAACAATGACAAAGAAACACTCACGCCGACATACGAGAACTGAAGGGTCAATTCAAACAGACTGCAGACATGTGTAATGTCTGCAAGTGGTAAAAATGCACCAGTACAGCACAGCGAGTCACAGTTGGAACGCGTCTCTGACCAATCAGCCTCTCGAAACAAACCCACCCACTGTACCGGGTCCAGTGGAGACGGCACAGGCAGGTTGTGAGGACGCCCAGCCTGCAGCTAAACGCTTCTGTGAGAGAGCAGATCTGCTGGGATCAAACAGCGCTGGGAGGGTTTATAAGTAACCATGGTGAGAGAACAGAGCCACGGCAACGTTTGGGAAGAGTAACCATGGCAAGAGCGTAACCATGGTGAAGTTTAGCCCGTATCCAGAGAGAGGGCAGGGCCGTCTGCTGGAGGAGGCTCAAAGTGTTGCTGGCAGTTCAGAACCCAGCAGGTTCCCATGGGCAGCAGGGCTGTGTGTGCGTGTTAAAACATGTATCCAAACACTCTCCAAACAAAAGTTGAAAGGCCAAAGGTTAGCAACAAGCTAGTGTGTGTTCAGTGTGTGTGTGGGTTTGTATACAGGTCATACCGGGAGAGAAGAAGAACCGGAGTTAGGAAAAAGTTAGCTTGAATGTGCAGACACACTATATTCTTCATTTCCCACAATTAACAAGTGTGTGTGCGCGTGTGTGTGTGCGTGTGTAGGTGTGTGTGTGTGTGTGTGTGCGCGTGCGTGTGTTCCCTCCAAACACTTGTAAACTAAAGCTCAGTGTGCAGCAACAAGCTACCACTTACACAGTAAACCTATAAAAACATGCCACGGGCTGAGTCACTCTCTGCGTCTCTGTTTATACGCGTTAACATTACAAGGTTATTAGACTGAGGGCTGAGGCTGCTAGGCATTACGCTTTATTTTTTTTAAACATATAGTGCTTCAAAAGCGGGCATTAAGTGACGAAATACATGTTAGAATTAGTCTCTGAGCGGTGATCGAATACGTGTGAGTCTCTACGGTCTCAGAATTAATGTCCTGCCAGTGCGACGCAGCTGTAAAGTTCGGGGCGCTGCACTGGAGCTTCATGGCATACGTGAGGATTTAACCCGCACATATATATAAAGACGCATTTGCATAAACATGCCTGTGGACACACAATTACTATGCTAATACGGACCTGGATGTGCTTTGCATGCGGACAGATCGAGGTGGATTTGGGAGGACGGCCGTGTGCCCAGTGAGGTCACAGCTGTTTAAAAACACCACATGGACGTCCAGTGGGCCTGTAAACAGTCCGTCCCCAGAGACGCTGCAGCATTCCTCCGGATTAGGCCATTAGCATCGCCGGGCTTTAACCATGGTAATGCTGGGCTGGGGTTAGAGGGGAGGTCAGACGTGACAACGAGCGACGTGTTGATGGGTTTCTCACTAGTATTCGTGAGTCTGTTCTTGGTCACACAGGAGACTCAAACAGAAGAACAAACAGATCCAGATGGGTGGAGGTCACTACTGCTCAGCTACTTAGTTAGAAGAACCATGAAAACCTCTGAACTGGCTTTAGTCATGTACTGGAACACCAGAACCTGCCATAAGAAGTATAATGATCCGGTAACTATACGTGTTCATCCATCATGCTAGTTTCAATAGTTTGTTCTACTGAAGTCCGACTAAACCTGAGAACAGGAGGTGCTTCAAGCTAATGAACTATATGTTATTGAGTCAAATGCAGTTTCGTACTGGCTAATGTTTTTCCTCTGAAGGTGATGAACTGATTGTAAATGTTTGACAGAGTTTGGATTTTATGCGTGTTTTTTGTGCGTGGGTTTGGCTTCTACTGAGCGTGCAACATGTGGCCAGTACAACACGCATTTCTTCCACTGCCACTGGTTTCACATTGTTCTGCTGATCTGCGCAGTGATGTTCTAAGTAGGGCTGCAAATAACCATTAATTTAAAATAATAGTTGGTTGCTTTAGCAAATGGTGACAAATGTTGATTGGTGTTTCCCAAAGCTCAAGATGATTTCCCTAAATGTTATCCCTACTCAAGATATTCAGTTGTTCACGACTGTCATAGTCATAATTTAAAACAATGAATCGACCAATCGTGGCAGCTCCAGTGGAAAGACAACAAACACACATGCAGAGATCAGGAAGACGACTTGATGCAAACAACGCATGAATTAAAATAATTGTAAAAATAGGTAAACGCATGTTAGTTTGATATTCTGCTCACAGTGATCTCAGTGAAGTCGTGTCTGAATTGAAGAAAGGAGGATGATGCGTTTCCACGGCCTTATAAGGCTTTATATTACAGACTGCAAAGGTAATGGAAGCAAACAGGTTGTGTTGCAGCAGAGTGTCACAGTTGTATTGGCTTCCCTGTGACGGGTCAAAGGACAGAATGCGGTACTAATGTCAGGGTTAGGTGCCCGACTCCCACAGTAGCCACTCTGAAAACTGCTTCAGTGAACCCTTTAAAGATTTAAAGGGCAGCCGGAGTTGCGGCATGGAGTGCACCTACTCCTGTCACGGAGCAAAAACTGCCCCCGTTGACCTTTTTAAAAAAAGGGTGGCCTGACCTAGAATCAAAAACTAGGAGCGGAAAATGCCGAGCAAAACGGAAAACTGGGGTTCTCCCTTGTAAAGGCATGGAGCCGCGTTTATTGCTCATTGCGTTTTTCCACTAGGGAAAATTTCCACGGTCATCTCCCTGACAATACCGCTCCAGCACAAACCCGGAGCAACAAACTGTGAGTCAGCTGCGAGGCCAACTGTGTGTGTGTGTCTGTGCGAGACATGAAAAATGTGTGTGTGCATGTAAGGAGTCTTTCCGACATCTGCATTCCTCTGCGGAGTGGGCTGGGACGGGGAGTGGAGTGGAATAGCCCTTTGGGGAATAAACAGGAGACGGACAGATAGAGGAAGTCCTTCACTGTCAGTTGCTGTTGGAGAAAGTGTGTGTGAATGTGTGTGTGTGTGTGTGCAGTTATAGGTTAAAGACACAGGGTGGAGCGGAGGGTTTTTCCTACAGCTGACTATGTGGACTCGATTCAAAACAAATCTCTGCGGAAAGAGAAATCCAAAGTGTTGAAGACGAGGATCCGCTGCTGCTGTCGGCCTGAACTGATCCCACCTTGTCACGCATCGAGCAATGTGGTTCATCTCATCCTCCCGACACACTCGCTGCTAACTCTGTGTATTCTCACCGCGAGACTCTGCGCAAGTGGACAAAAATATCACCACTGTTTATGTTGCTATCTGGAAATACTTTCCAGATTGATTTCTTGTCAGCTCTTGAACTGAATCAGTCACAGCTTTAGTCTACGGAGCTTGTTCGAAGATATCTGGAGGTTAATTAAACAGTCAAAGCGCCTACTAAATCCTTTCTGTAAATTCCTTCGTGACATTTGGTCTTTTGCCACACCAGCAGCTCTTTTCCTTCTTGGTCACCAGCATTGTTCGTAAGCTGTGATTAGCTTTATATTTATTATCTGCCATCTTTAGCAAACAGTGAAACAAAAGAACAATACACAGTCGTATCAAATATACACACAACTGTGTGCCACACAGTGTTCACACTGTTGGTCTTTATGGGGTAATTACGGCTTGAGTGTTTACTAAAGTTCATTTGTAAACCAACATAAATCACGTTTATGTTTAATGTTTAACACGAAAGCACATCTACGATCCACCAATTGCGCAAAATGCTTCATCTTCCTAACAAAACATTACCGAAGCTTATTCTATTGTGTGTTTTGAAAGTTTACATCTAAGTTTACTTGCTACCAGGGCCGTAAGATTTCACATTTGAATAAACAGAGCATTACTTTCACTTCCACGTACAAATCATTGCTTCCAAATAAAATAAAATAAAATAAGGTTTTTCTTCATCTGAATTTAGTGCATCTCCTCGAGGCCAAGTATAAACAAAACCGCACCCAAACCACCTCACTTACTGAACATCTGCTTGTCTATAGGCTCTATGATTTCATGTCCTGGCTACGTTAGATGCTAGCTAGATGACTGTGCACAGAGAAGCCTCTAGTCTCCACTCAGTTACACACACTGAAAATTACAATGAGGTGTTTACCAAGCAGCTGTTAAAATGCAAAAAGCTGGAACAGGGTTAACCGTTCGAGGACAGAAAATAGTGAAAAGAAAACTGCCTTGAATGATGTTTCTCCACAAACCCCACTTCAACCTCCTAAAACAATATCATAGTAGTACATAGAAATAGGAATAGTGCAATAGTAAGAGTTTGATTCATTTGCTTTGAAACAACTGACTGATTAATCGACTTATTGTTGCAGCTCTAAAACAATCCACATGTTGTTCACAGAATGGAAGAATCTAATTATTTGTCTTGAGCATCTCCCAACAGTTGGTTCTCCCTGATTGTTATTAAAAACATAATTTTAGTGTCATGAATGCACCGTAAGCAGGCCGTGGTTTGCACTTTATCTTGGTGTAATATTCACATTTAATTACTTATTGATTCAAATCACTGAATAAAGAAGTACAACAGATTCAGAGAGGTGTGTCCTGGACGCAGCGATGATTATCTGTGACTTGTTGTTGCTTACCCCAGCACAATGAGCTCTCCGTACTTCACTGGCACTTTGGTGGAGGCGGTGGTGGAGATGTTTTCCTGCTCCGGGGAGTACATTGGGCTCGGCTGATTGAGGCTCGGTGGAGGAGGAGGAGGAGGAGGGGAGGAACGACGGGTGAGATCCAGCAGGGTGATGGGAGGCAGGAAAGGGAAAGGAGAGGAAGGGAGGGGGGAGGTGCTGATCGAGTGGACCACCGGGGGAAAGGAGGAGAAGGAAGGGGAAGGGTCAGCTGAGCCTCAGCTCCACCCTCTCATGCTTCATGGGCCCGTCTCTGGCAGCACCACTTGACCTGCCCTGCAAAGAGACAAAGAACGAAACAACACAAAGATTAGTGTTTACTCAAATCAGAACCGAAAAAAGTAGGATGCAAATAAAAATCTCTGCACGAGGCTGATTTAAGTTTAATTTCTATCCATGCAGACAGCACTTACAGTCTGATAACAATAATAATCAAGCTGCCTGAGGGGTAATTTCTACCTAAATTTACAACGTGACTCAGCACCAGCCTGTGTGCAAACAGTCCAACTGCATGTAAATGACATGTCTAACTGGGACATGCTATGATGACGGCCGTGTTCAGACGGACAACAGCGCTGCGTGAATGTTGAAGCCCCCGTTTTTGATTTGAATGAGCGCTTACATTAACTCAGCAGGGGTGCCAGTGCCGGGTCAACTCAACAAACCTGAACCAGACTCCGCTGCTTCCACAACTCGGCAGCAGAGTTTTTGCATTTGACAAGCCTTAAAACACAGATCTGGTCTCTTTACATCAGACCTTAATGGGTCTTTGCATCTCAAATCATCACATTTTCTGAGGAATTTCCTTCCTAGCCATTTCTGATTTGCCTCGAATTTCCTGTGAACCCCCTTTCAGCAGGTTTTCTTGCAGATTGAAAGCTATAAAGCTAATAAACATAAAGTTTTCCTTGATGTGTCTCATCATGTCAGTATTTACAACTCAGTTCCACCTGGATTAGACTACAGGCTAATAACTTAATTTTCAATGTTGTGTTAAAATATTGGAGGTTATAAAGTAGTCTACATGTTTTGTTTTGTATTATTATGACCTGACAGTTCTTCACCTTCGCATCAGGGATGTGACGTACATGTGCAGACTAGAGTGAGTGCTGTCATCGCGTCATCTTCTGAAATCAGAATGTAAACAGCTTTCTAAATACACAGGAAGGGGTACGAGAAAGTGTGTGAGAAAAGATGGCATGAGAAAAAGGAGAGGATGGACTTCCTGTTACAGAAGCCAACTCAGTTCACTGCGGGTTTAAGTTTAACTCACGACCTCTCTGGTAGACGTGCCCCGCTCTCTCCCACTCACTAGAACGCGCTGGATATAAATACGCTAAGCTATCCTTCAAAACAATAACATCATCTCTTCACTTCCAGGAAATCCTCCTCGTTTGAAGCAGAACATTTCTCCTATAATTCCCATAGAGCATATCTGCTAAGAGAAGGCAAAACCACACATGAATAAAGTATAGGAAGCAAAGTGTTTTGATGACGAGCGGGGATCAGGGGGTTTGACTGAGTGTATCATTAAAACCATCAATACCAGGGGTCTTCTAGATGTATGGCAACCACTTTAAAACATACCCTGAACATATTAAACTCATTTTATAGCTTGTATCTGAGCAGATGTCCTTTAGCATAAAGACTACACGACTAAAAATCCATACACGTTTCCATTAACCCTCTGCGCCACTCGCCTCTCTGTACAAACTACAGCTTGTTACGAGGGTTTACTTTCTACATTTTCAAACTAATTGGCATCCACTAGAGTACTTCCAATCACGAGCTGAGACCACTGTGCTGCTTTAAACTCTTACAAGCACGTCTAATCTGACTGCACTCGCCACTGGGCTCACCTGCATCTCATCTCGACAGACATGAGGGCGATATCGATCTTCTCGTCTAAGTTTCCGCCACAAAAAGAAAATACCAGTATTTCCGAAAACATTAAAAAAAAAATGTAATTACTGCCAAGATGATTTCCTGTAATTTAACCTGCATGAACCGGTTCACACGTAGCGACGCTTTGCGAAAACAAACACAGCACAGTCTGATGCTCCTACACCTACATCCTCTGGCAGTGTGTTGATCACGCCAGCAGCTCACATGCTCAGAGGAGTCCTCTTAGGAGGCGTCTTCTTGTAGGTGCACGCATAAAGACAAAGTGTTCCCACACAGAAACAGGAAGTGACAGGGTGTTTACACAACCACCGATTCGCTTTCAGGTTAACCGCTTGTGATGCGCTGCCGGTGATGGCGGAGCTTCCCGTGTGCACTTGGACTGGTGCCGCCACAGAGTCTGCGCTTGCAAACGATCTGATAAAGAAAACGCTGACAAAAGCACGAAACTTCATACTGTAGAGGTAAATATTATGGTGTATAGCGTGGGCTGCGGTTAACAGCTAACTGTCAGTATTCGTTGTCAGTTAGCTAGGTGGTGAAGAAAGGCTTTTCCAACTTCAGCTTTGCACTACTTATTTTTTTTTGGCCACAAGCTCAACTGACGCTTGGGACAGACTTGTGGGTCTCGCTGACAGTAATCTGAAAACATCACGGTCGGGTCTCTTTGAGGAGAACTTGTCGCAATGTTACACAAAAGAAAATGTCAGAAGGTGGCGCTATGGGCAACGTTGTGCCTGGCTGTCATGAAAAGAGTAGAAGAAACCAGAAACGAAACCACCGGCTGCTAAAAAACCTCAATGAAGAAGAAGAGGAAGAACGTTCTGCATCCACGAGAAACAAAAACAAAGACAAATCTTCAGGAACTGTGTTCAATCAGGAAAGTTGTAATTAGTCTTTGATGTCAGCTGGTATAACAATAAATGCTCCCTACATCAGAACCTATGATCAGGATTGTGAATCTATGAGCTCTAACTCATCTTCTTTTAACAATCTGAACTCCAACACTGGCTGGATTGGAAAAAAAATTACACGACAGATCAACCAGAAACTGTGGCAAATCAAATTTCCATCTATGAGCTACTCATCTGTGACATGACGTTCCAGTGGGAAATTTGACCAGGCGATCAATTTACTCTTCATGTGTCATTTAATATAGATATTATACATATATTTGAACTGAAGGTCTTTCAAAAAAAATAAAAACTTTGGACTCGTGTCTATATTCGGTCTGACTTCTTCCTCCATGCTGTCTGTGCTTCACTTGAGGATGAGTTCTTCAGCGATGTTCCCGTTATCGTCCAAAACCTTCAGTACAGGATCCGAGCCTCTAACGTACTTGATCTGAAGACCCTTGAACATCTTCGGCTTGGACTTGAGGGAACCTACCCAATTTTAGTCCGCACACCTCGAGGATGGCCACTCACTCACTATGTATATTCATTTTTTCGAAAAACCCCCTTAAGCAAGCGTAAAAACTTTTCTGCACAAATAGGGATTTTTTTGTCCTGAGTTTGCTGTTTGTATTAACTCTTTGTGGTGCTACTTTTCAAACTGGCATAAAAAGACATGATGGAGACATGGCTTATGAAAGCAAGAAAACAGTATATACATACAATGAACGAAGCATCTCAAATTAAAGCATGCTCTGAAAAATAAAACAACAACCACACATTTGGCTAACTGATAATCAACAACAGACTAAAATGGAATCCTGCAACAAAAGCACTCTCTGGAGAATCAATAGGTCCAATCTAAACAGCTTATCTGGGTTCAAACCACACGTTTCAAAGCGTTTATCTGCTCGCTAACAATCCACCTGCTCATACTTACAGCTTCGCAGCCTCACACCTGAGGAGGCAACAAAGAGTCTGAACCCAACCTTGTTTCCAAAGTGTGACCTATTGTTAACGCAGTGACAACAATGGAGCTAAATTCAGCACCGCGCCGCCTCGGTACGGCTGTGAGCTGTGATCAGATTCAGCGAGAGTGCGGAGGTGAAACAGACAGAAACCACAGCAGGGTTCGACACTTTCAAGCCCTTCATTTACTGACATTTTAACAGAGTTCAACAGGTGGCGGGGAGAGCTGTGAATCTTTGCAGCTTCTTCCGACAGAAGAGTCGACTGTGGAGATGGATGTAAGCCGGAGCCCCACCCGCTTCCTGTTCAGGAGGGGTTAATCCCACCGACCGACCCTAACACGCAGCATTAACGGTGCATACTAAAACAAAACGCTCTGAGCCGTGTGCACGTAAAACCCTCCCTGTGCACACATGAGTCGGTGGTGTCGATGGAACTGCCGGCTGACTTGCCAGGGATTGATTTTTACCGATGGATCCAGACACTCGAGACCAAAGAAAAATAGGTCTGTGTGCTGTGGGTCCCGTTATCGAACACGTGTGCTGAATGCTGAATTACGCTGCTGTCTCAACTCTGCTGTTATCAACAAAAACCAGTGGCGGCTTCTTCACAGTCCGCGACTCGCAATCTTCAAGCACAATCACATCATTTTTGCCTGCATGGTTCACGATGCACCGAGTCACCCAACGTATAATGGTCGCGCTGGTCCATTGTTTGTTAAAAGCTTCCCTAACACAGCTTTTTATACTAATGATGATGAGGCAGAACAGGCTACAACTAGCAAATATTATCATTATTAATTTGGTTGATAAAATGTCTGAGAACACTGACAAATATCCATCCTATTTTCCATCCATCCACCCATTATCTATACACCGCTTAATCCTCACTAGGGTCATGGGGGGCTGGAGTCTATCTCAGCTGACTCAGGGTGAAGGCAGGTTCACCTGGACAGGTAACCAGTCTATCACAGGGCTACACTTAGAGACAGACAACCAAGCACACTCACATTCACACCTACGGACAATTTACAATCACCAATTAACCTCAGCATGTTTCTGGACTGTGGGAGGAAGCCGGAGAACCCGGAGAGAACCCACGCTGCACAGGGAGAACATGAAGACTCCACGCAGGAAGATCCCGGTGCCCCCACCGGGACGCGAACCGACAACCTTCTTGCTGTGAGGCAACAGTGCACCATCCTATTTTGTTCATCTTAAAATCCCCTAAAAGATATTCATTTTGTAAAAATGTGAAGTTCAAAAAAGAGAAAAAAAAGTCACATTGGAGAAGCAGGAACTTCAGGATAAAAAACCCCAACTTACATAACTAATCAACTATCAAAACTGTTTTCATTAGCTGGTCAATCGTTCCATCAAGACAGCTTTATTTTCTTTATTTAACTTATTACTTGGACGAGGTTATGAAACGGCCTATGTCATTTGATTATATTAGGACTTAAGTGGGGGGAAAAGGCATTTTGTACTATGTGTTATTTATAATCAAACTGGC